GCGGATGGGGCTGCCCAAATGGACACCGCCCAGCACGATGGAGGATGGGTGTCCCAGCAGCACTTGGAGCTGCAGGGGGCAGGCGGAGTGTCCGAGGTTCTTGGGCAGAAGACTCCGGAAGGTTGGGACGCTGCCCAGCAAAAGGAAATGGAGAGACACAAGTCTGCATCCCGGGGAGACGCGGCCTGGAGGGACAGGCTTCCACCTCCACTCATTTGAGGCGCCCCACGCCGAGGACACGCCATCTCCCTCAAGGGCGTGCGGGGGTCCCGAGGTCTGCAGGCTGGGATGGTGTGGCTGGAGACACCACGGGGCGACTGTCCAGGCAAACACCTCCTCACTCTGGACGAGGCAGCCTGGCCATCGGGAGCTGCGGCCCAGGGCGGTTCTGTCGGAGACCCGGCTCCTGGACCGCAAGTCGGAACAAGATGTCTCCCGAGTGGGAGAAGCCCCTGGCAGGCCTGCCGAGGCCACGCTGCTGGCAGGGCTGGGCTGCCCCCTGGTGGATCGCCCGGCAGGCGTCCCGGGTCAGCCCGGGGAGTCGGGGGCTGCTGCCTGTCCTCTCCTGGCTGAGCTTCGACTTGCAGGGGAGGCCTGAGCGGGGCCCAGGTGGGCAGCCACAGCCCCGAAGGGAGGCCATGCAGGCGGCGGAGGGTCCAAGGGCCAGAAAAGCCTCCAGAAACAGGGAAGTGCTGGGGGCTCTAAAGAGCGTGTTGCCCTGTCCGGCCGTGGGGAGCCTGACCCGGGTCCTAGGCTGTGCCGGCTGTCCCTGAATGTCACAGGGATGTGAGGGAGCCCGGGCTCCAAGCCAGGACTCCCTGATGTGGGAGGCCTCCTCTGGGCCTGTGAACTCACAAGGCCCTTGAACTACAAGATGGGCAGAACTGAGGCGAGGGCTGAGGACAGAGCCTGGTGCCTGTGGCGAGAGGCCTAGTGGCCAAGTGGCAGATTCTGGTGTCCCCCAGCCTGGGGTGTGGCCATGCACATTTGTGGAGGTGACTCCAGGTGGGGCGAGGACCCTGGGAGGAGGGCCTGCCCTGCGTTTCTCTTCCCTTGCAGCTCCAGAGAATTGAGGCGGACAGTCTGTGGCCCCATAAGGATGGACGGACGGACGGACGGACGGACGTCCCCTCGTGGAGAAGCAGCAGGTCACAGCAGCACCTGCAAATGGGCGCGGTGCAAACCACCAAGCACACCAGCCCAGGCCGGCAGGGCAGCAGCAACGTGGACGCGGGGCCCCTCGGGCACGGAGGGCGCTGGCCTGGGTGCGGTCTTACCGGGGCAGATCTTGCTTCATGAGCAGGGAAGGCAGCCGTGTGGGGCTTCCCGCACTACAGCCAGCGTCCGGGCACCCCCGCCCCTGCCCCAGCCACTCTGTCTCCACCCCGGGCCGGGGACCATTTTATGGCCTCTCAGCCCCAGAGCCACCCTTCTTGGCCGCCTTCGTGGGGCGGAAGCCGGACCCCTTGAGGTCTCTGTCGGCCGGCTGGTGCGCCGCTTCGTCAGCAGAGGGCGCTGCAGGGGCAGCCGCGAGCGGCAGCACCTGGGCTCCCAGAGCCGGGTTTAGTGGGCGTGTCACAACCATGGCAACAGCTCCATTGGTCTTGAAGCCCCCGTGCGCGCCACGACTCTCCCTGCCCGAGCCAGGTTCCGGGTCCATCTTTGGGGGCGTCTCCGGGGCCACCCGTGCGTCTGCTTTTACCCCGCCTAGCGCTGCACAGCCTCTCGCCAGCTGCCCGTGTCCACGTTCACGCACTGGTGTGGTTTGTCCCCCAGTGGGACTCGGCTCTGGGCACCACTGCCACCTGACAGTCCCGAAGCTGAGGGTCCTTGCTTCTCCTCTGGCCTTTGCTTCAACAGCCAAGCTGTCAGCACGGCTGCGTCTTCACCTCCGAAACGTCCTGATGCTGTTCTCTGGGCCCCATCGCCTCTCCTGACGGTGGCTCCGACTAAGAGCCAGGCGGGCCTCTCCCACAGAGACCAGAGCGTCACCCCTCCGGCCCTTCCCGAGACGCTCGGAACACATTCCAGCCCCGCTGAGGCTCCGGGGCCTCCCAAGCCGGCCTGCCATACCCTCTTCCTCCCGCCCACACACGAGGACACATCAGGGAGGACGGCCAGGCCCCTGGCCACCCAGCTGCCTGCAGACCCAGCGGGGCCCCTCATCCAGTCTGGCCGCCGACCGGAGATACGCATCCCTGGCTCTGCCCGCTTTGCTCCCGGCCGGGCATGCGGGCCAGTGTCCATAAAAAGAATGATGAATTCTGGGGTCTTGACGAGGTCTTTGGATCTGCCTGGGTCTCTCTCCCCCACCCCTCGTAGTGAGTAACCCCCCTGTCAAACCCGAGGGGCAGTGCCTGCAGCGGTGAGGGGGGACGGGGCTCCTTGTCCGCTTCCGCACATTATCGTGGGGGCATCCCTCACCAAAACCCGCTTCGCCCGCACCGAGGGCATCCTCAAGGGACTGAGAAATTTCACCTCATTTCCACAGGCGACAGTGCGGGTTATGGCATCTCAGGAGCCAGTCAGGAAAGGTACTGGCCGGGGCCCTTCACCGCAGCCCTCCGGGCCCCTGCTGGGGGCGGGTAGCAGCACTGACACGCACCGGAACACTCCGGAGGCCAGCACAGAGGGCCTGGGTCCCGCCAGGTCCCCAGATACCTCATAGGTGGAGCCGTCGGCACAACGCAGCACCCCGTGCCCCTGACGCTGGTCCCGGACCCAGTCGCCTTCGTACTCGTCACCGTTCCTGGGGACACAAACACAGGGGCTGCCGTCAGCCTGGGGAGAGCCAGGTGGCGGCGCTGACTCAGACCGGCTCCTCCGACCGGGGCTCAGCAAGCGCCACTGGGACGGAGGCGAAAATAGGCTCTGAGCAGATGGCGTGAGCTCCTGCCTCGCCAGGGCCTGCTGCGGGCGGGGGGGTGGCGGGGGGCTGTGGCCTTGGCGCCCGCTCGCCTGGCCCCCCAGGTGAGTAAGACTTGGAGAGGCTACCGGAGAAGCGGGGGGGACCTGCGCGGAGCCGCGGCCGCCGGATTTAAAGGCAGGCAGGCAGGCCTGCTGCCGTGGAAGCCTTGGCTCATCCTCCGGCCAGGGCCCCGCACCCACCTCCTGGGACGTCTTCTCTCCTGCACACCCCGTGAGCGATGTCCGTAACTGAGAGAATGGTCAGAATCCTACCAAGAACTCAGACCGAACCTCGTGGACCGGCGCTGGGGGCTGGGGACAGATGGGTGGCGTACTCACCGGAAGACCATGTGTCCTTGGCCGTGTCGCTGGTTGTCATGGAACCACCCCCAGTAGGCTTGTCCGTCCCGGTCCACCAGATGCCCGTATCCTAGGGAGTGAGCCCAGACACCCAGGGTCACCTCTTGCGTCCTGCCAGGTGGACCTACATCCCCGAAGGGGCTTTGCGGGCCTCCTGAGGGCGGGTGGGTCGGGAAGAAAGCTGGGGTTGGCGGGGCCCCCGGGAGCCAGGCCGTCCTCCCAGGCCAGGGTCGTCGGGGCAGGAAGGGCAGATTCGATTTAGGGTGGCCCCAGCAGCCACCCAATGGAAGTGGCTCTGGGGTCCGGCTCTCAAAGGTCCTGAGTGAGGGTGGGAGGGTGTCACTTAAGGACCCCAGCCCCCCCCTGGAGTCTGAGGCCGGAGTGCCTGCTGTGTGGTGGGGCCCATACCATGGTCTGGCCACTGCAGGTGTGCACGTGAGCCCGTGGGAAAGCCGCCCCTCACAGACATAACAGCAGGGCTGGGCCCCGAGTAACAGACTCAGAGGCCCTCAGCCTAGAGGCCAGAGGACACGCTCATGAGGACAGGGCTTCACTGTGTCGTTCGGGACAGCTCGGAAACGCGTGCGGACACCATGAAGGCACCATCGGACCTCGTGGCCTCTTGGCCCGGTTCTGGGTGCTGGTCTTCCAGAATAGTGAGCGCTCTGGTCTTTGGGCCTCGGGGGCACGCACACCACCCCCAACCGCCCCCTCGGGGCAGAGTCCACTTCCCCCCAAGCGTGGCCTCTTGACTCACTCTGTGAGCCATGTGACCTCGGAGGGCCTGCACCTTCTCGCCCCCCAGGAGCCCCGAGGCTTTTAGGCCAGGAGGGCCCGGGAGCTACGTCACTGCGGCTGGAGGGGAGACCCCACGTGAGTGCGGAAGCTTTCCCAGCAGGGCCGGGCCAGATCGCTGACGCCTGGGGTTGTGGGCAAACAATTAAGTCGCGGTTGTCTTGAGCCACTGGATTTAAACCACAGTGGTGGTTAACCGACGCACGACCCTTGTCACAGCCACAGCGCACGGGGTCCCCGGGCCATGGCCCCCACACGGAACTGGGGGAAAGGCTCCCAGGCCCGGGTGCATGTCAGGCTCCCTGGGTAAGCTCAGATGCCTGAGCCCACACGGGCCCCCTGAGTCAGATCTTGGTGAGGGGTGCTGGTGTCCAGGGCTCCCCACACAGCACCCTGCCACACTCAGTAAGTTCTGGTGGCCGTCAGACCTTCTCTCATGCCGTGGGAGAGCTCCCCTTCGTAACATCCACCAGCTTTGTACTTCATGATGCCACGTCCTTGAGGTTCTCCCAAAACAAACTGTCCCGAATAGGTGTTCCCTGGTGCAGAGGAGGAGGGGCACAGGCATCCGGGGTTAGAGCTGTTGCCTGTGTCCTTGGTGGGTCAACAGTCAGACCCTCCTGTCCCCAATCAATGGCGGCAGGCGCCATTTATTTACCTTGGCTGACGGGACAAGGTATGATCGGGTAGGTCTGGCCCTGCCATCCTGGTTACCGTAGGGGTGTCGGTTCCCTCCCCTCCTGGCCTGTGGGAGCAGACCTGTCCTAGGACGACCCTCTGTGGCATCCGTGAGCCCAAGGGAAAGGCCTCTCTGGGTCAGTCTGTGGAGTGAACCTTCCCTCCCAGAGAAGCGGCCACCAGGCTTGCCTGCGAGGGTCTGGGCTCCTGGAGCCGTGGCTGCCCCTGCTCCAGGGGACGCTCTGCTGACTCAGGACACCTAATGGAAACCAGGAGCCCACATTTCACAGTCGGAGGGGCCTTCTGCAGCCGGAAGCCAGGTACAACTTAGAGCAGATGGCTTATGAGGGAGGAGTTAGCATGCCCGCACCTGTCCCCACCGCTAACCTGATGAGGCCCAGATCCGGCAGCCTTCCCCCGTGATCTCCCCGTCCGTAAACTCGCCTTCGTAATAGCCCCCATCTTTAAACAGCAGCTTCCCCCGACCTGGGGAAAGATCAGGATGTGAAGTCAGACCGAAGTCGGAGTGACTGCTGGCACACGTGTGTGGCCGGGCTCGTTTCCCAGAGGGAAGAGCGAGGCCTCGAGGCTCTCAGGTCTCTGTCTTTGGCTCCGTCTCTGGTCCCACACCTGCTCTCTGCAAACTCACCCACCTACACGCTTCTCAACAGAAATGTTTCTGAAACATTACGAACACCCGCTATCTCAGCCAGGATGACTGCAGAGCCATCAAAGTGCAGAGGAGATCCCACTCCGGCCTCTTCAGTGGGGACGCTACGGTCGCCTGGCCTCCGTCAGCCCTGGGGACGAAGGGGAGTCTGCGACACAGGGCAGCACTTGAGAAAACATTTAAATAAGGGGAACTGGGGTGTCTGGCTAGCTCAGTCAGAGAAGCGTGTAACTTTTTTAAAAAACCTTTTAACGTTTTATTTAACTTATTTATAGCAGAAAAAAAATCTGATGTTTTATGAGATACGTATTAGCGTTCTTCCATAACAAATTATTGCAAACGGAGTGCTAAGACAACAGAAACTTATTATCTCACAGTT